TTCAGTTTCTGAAATGAGGCATCCCAAACATTTGACAACCACTTGTTTAGAGCAACTTCTGCCTGTTTGTTTGTGCAAGGAGTTTAAGTTTGTACAAATACACATCAGATCACAGACACATGTAACCGGTTTACTCCTCATGCAAACATCTGGGAACATCAGATGTTTGCATGAAAATTAAATTCAAATTTATTTAAACTATATGTACAAGTGATGAGTCAGTGTATACGGAGGAATGATGAGCAGATAAAACTGTAGAAAAGGAGAAACTGAACTCATCATATATCCATCAGAAACTTTTTTCATTTTTAATTATATTTTAAACAGAGTAGGTGAATGTGGTGTCAGCTGCAGTTCCCATTATTCTTTACAGCACTCAGCAGGATTCAAACAGGAGTGTGTTACAGTCTAGGCTGCCCTCTTACTCCCTCTGCTGTTTAATAACTGTTTTTATCCCTAATTCTTTGGCAGTGTTACCAAAAAGCAAACATAACGTTGACATCATGAGTGTATCAGTACCCACGATCTCTCTGACCGTGTACAATGACTTCATTACCATCGACACACACACGCGTCCACTCAGTGTGGATCCGTCTGTGAAGAATAATCCCTATTTTACCCTTTAATTCACATTCTACACAGCCTTTCTTTGTTGGTATGACTCCATATTTGTGAGCTGTTCTTACTGACTTACATCAGTGTTTCAGTCTTTAACTCAGTCTAGCATTAAGCATGAGCTGAAGATGGTGAGCAGCAGACTTCGGGATTCATACTCTCCAGTGAAAAAGGCTCCATTCATGCCAATAACCTCCCTGAGACAGCAGGTGAAAATAAAGCTGGCACATTAACAGGATAGCTTGGGTCTGTCAGCTGTGCATTTACAAATAAAATAAAGTACCAGTGAGTACTGTACCTGTACAATACTGTGTGCTGTACTCAATATTGCTACTGCACACAAAACTTTGTTATACAGTATTTTATTCATATTTGACTGAGCATTAATTACACAGCATTTCCACTATACAACTTCTTTATCTACCAGTCTGATAGTTTCCACTGATCCCATTTTTAAAATCCTGGTAAACCTCGAGTCTTCTGGACTTCATCCTACAGTTTGTGTGTTTGATGTAAAGTCAAACCTCGTTCTTTGATGTTGTGAACTTGTGTCACTCTTCTTTTTTTGGTGCACTCTGCAGAGAAAGTACGTACAGTTTGATTAGTGAAGTTTTCAGTGAGATTTGTGCTCAATACTGTGCTCAGTTAAAGTTCTGGGATATTGATGTGATCAGTTCAGTAGCAGAGAGCGTTGTTAACGAGTTAATAAAATTAACAACAGGTGCACTAGAGTGATAACAATGAGACAACCCCCAAAACAGGAATAGTTTTACAGGTGGACACCACTGACACTTTTTCCTTCCTTATCTTTTATGACTGTTTTTAATCACCCCTGCCTTTGGCTAGGGTCAGGGTCACTACTGGTAGCTCAGTGCAATACCTGGACCCTACAGACATTGGACAGGTAGTCCTCCAGGATGGCACATCAATGCATGTCTTTGCCAAAAGGTTTGCTGCGTCTCCCAACACCAGTCTCAAGAGCAGGGAGGAGATTCTAGGATGCAGGCGGGTTCTGCAGGAGAGCTGGACAGGAACATAGAAGGTCCTTAACCCATTAGCAGAACCAGTATCTGCTCCTTTGTGCAGGGAGGAACAGGATGAGCACTGCCAGAGCTACTAAAGGACCTCCAGCAGGTCGCTGGTGTGACTTCTCTGACCAAATTATCAAAAACAGACTTCATGAGGGTGGCCAGAGGGCCCAACATCTTCTTGTGGACCATGTCCTCACTGCCCAGCACCATGGCGTGTGATTCATCCATTGAATATCAAAACAGCTCCACCAATGGCACCCTGTGGTCTTCACAAATGAGAGCAGATTAACCCTGAGCACATGTGACAGACATGAAAAGGTCTGAGGAAGCTGTGGAGAACGTTATCATCATCCAGCATGGCCGCTGGGCTGGAGGGACGCACGGACCTCTACAGGATAGGCGACGGCACCATGACTGCCATTAGGTATTGGGATGAAATCCTTGGACCCACA